TTCAGATCATATTCGAGGAAGCTTTCCAATATAAAATTGCATTAAACTATTTTAAGACTTTATCTCACAGATACGCTCACTCTTACGCATAACTTGAAATTATACATTGCATAATCCGTTAAACGGTTTAAGCCACTAAATTGCAAGCAACTCTCAGCAATCTTTTCGATTCATTTGCGCGCCTAGAAAAATCGTTATAAATTTTGCTCACGCCGATCTAGCAATCGGGACTTTCCCGGGACGATTCTCGCAATCTTCTTGGCAGTCGATGGAATTTAACACGGCCGGAACAGTATCCGTAAAGCATACTTGTCGTCACCGGAATTTTTCGCTATCCCGCCGCGCTTTCTCACCCGCAATGCGGACGAAATGCGGCATACCGTCGCATATTTATGGGGCATCGCTCTCGATGCGAAATTGCTCGATATATATATATATATATATGCTCGTCGACTTTCATGACTCGTAAAATAAAATCGCCGTGTTAACGATCCTGTGTGTCTGTTTAATTCGAAGTTTCATATTTCGACTCAAATGAAGATCTTTGTCATTGCAGAAAGTAACAAGAAAATTGATTCGCTTAGAATTATTAAGCAATAATTTCGATTATGTTGCTGTCACGAATACTTCCTTGGTTTTAATCAATTGCGATTAAGATACACGCATCTTATAACTTTAAAATGATACTATACAACGTATATAAAAGAAAAAAAATTAAGTCGAAAGAAATGCAAAAACTTTCGTACGCTTAAATGCCCATCATATTAAATCCTTATTAATCTCTTTCTTTCTCTCGTTGATGACTCTAAAAATCGAGTTTTTGCGCGTTTGTGAAAAATTCAATTCTCTACTTTTCTGTTGCTAATAAAAAATTTTAGAGATGGAGAAACGTACTGGAATCCAGTAATTGAATATCTCGATAAAAAATAAATGACAAAGAAGAGAATATTAAATAAAATTTTGCAAAAATTTAAAAACGCAGACTTAATCGTAAAAGTAAAAAAGTACACGTGAGACACACGAGATACGTTTATTAATAATACCAGAAACGACCGCAATGACGGGGTGTCAGTTAATGACCGAGTGACACAACGTTTTTCCTAAATTATAACTAGTGGTTCAAAGCATATAGAGAGATAATTTTGACACAGTGCTATTTATACCCTGCCAGATGTTAGATAGAATGAAATGATAAGGAATTGATAAATGGTTCATACATTTCAATATTGTCGATGACAATACGTGATTTCAATATTTTAACACAAAAGCATCAACCGCAAAATAATTTTTCTAGTTTTATTTTATTATAGTATTATTATAGTTTATTAATTTGTTTTCTCATTATTTATATTTTATTTTATTTCACTTATCTTGTTTATTTTGCACGAGTATACGTGAAGAATCTCTAAACGTATCTTTCGGAATCACTGGCCCTTTCGCAATTTTGCAACTAATCTAGGCAATAAGATCCACGATTGCGCGAGAGAACTTAATCGATCCACTCTATCAAAGGTAGCGGTTGCAACCGATAACGGGAAAAGCAAATCGTATCGCCTCTCACTCTCGAGTGCCCAATGGAGAAGGGGCGGAAGTTCTCGATATGCGATGTTGTGTGTGTTCGTACATACGCACACGTATATGCAAGTGGTTGCAAAGGATCGATGGAAAGGTAGCCAGGAGGGGTATTTGCACCATGGTAAAAAAATCCGCGGCATTCCAGTGCGGCTACTCGCGAAACGCAGTCAGTGATCCATGGAACAGCAAGGTACAAACTACGTTAAGTCCTATTTATGCTATTTTCTTCTTTTTTCGAGAGAGATTAGATTTATAAAAAATATTACGTCGCAAAGCACGCGAGTAATGCATTATGTTTTATTATTATGGTCTAAATTATTCAGTAGACATTTTTTATACAGTAAATTATTGTATCTGACAGTAAATTATTGTATTATTTAATCATTTGGACATTTACACATTTTTTAAATTAAGCTTAGGCTCATGTTTTAAATTAACATGAGTTACAGAACAAAATAAATATATAGATACTTATTTCTTTAAAATTTTAAATATATTTTATCGGAAAATTATTTTAAAATCATGGAAAAATAAATTAAATTAAAGTGGAATAAAAATGATGAAATTGAATTCGTTTTTAACTCGGTCTTATATTTCATTAGAATAACTATTTAATAGTAGCGTACTTACCTATATTTTGTAATGACAATTGACAAGCGATAATCAATATAAAACATGCCTTGTGTGTTCATAAATGGCAAAGACACGATAAAATTACATAAAATAACGAGTGACTAGAGGAAACATTCTCTCTCTTTTTCTTCTTTTCCCTCGCTTCCTTTTCTCTCTTTCTCTGTTTTATGTAAAATAAAGGATAGGTCCATTCATTCTCTACCATGTTACGGTGCGGCGTAGTATAATACGTTTGATTGAGAAATATGGTGTGAACGGGACCTTACCCGGGAACGCGCTGTTACTTAACGCTCCTAGGGAAAGTCTCGAGACCGCAGATTTGCGGTAAACGTAAGCTAAAGAAATTCTCAACCGGTGCAGCAGGCAAGGCCGAGGGATCGACTTCCGATTTCGAAATCAACCGAAGTGTATTCGATCGTTCGTTTCGCGCAATATCTGGGATACGGTGGTTTTTAGCGAACGCGGTATTTGTGTCAATCAGACTTCGCGAGTCGAACATCGCGTTGAAACAGCCCGATATTAGCATACACCGGCTTCGCTTTTACTTTTACGACGGCAAGTCTCGCTCGAGCGTCAGACGAAGGTTAATCAATTCGCGTATTAATTAAGACCCGGACTCCGCGTGTTGTGTAAATGTCTGTAATTTTGGTGGTTTAACTGCGGAATGGAAATGTCGTCCTTTACAAAAAAGTTTCGTTTTCAGATTATATAAAATCGAATTTATATGATTGTGAAACAAGAGTAGATGTATATAATTACGCAATTCTCTCTTATAATTAATAGATCAAGTATTTATGAAATGTCTAAAGATTAATCGAAAAAGTACTGATCCTTATATCTATTTGTAAATGTATTATTTCTATCAAAGCAATTGTTATCATTTTTATAATGTCTAGAATTCATTAAAAGTTCGTATATTGTTTTTGCATTTAATATAATGTTCTTAAAAATATATTTTTATTTATAAAATGCTACATTAATTTTTCATTAATAAAAATTAATAAAATTAATAAAACTTAATAATTATTTAATTTTTATCTCTCTACGATAAAATATATGCTACAATATATAAACCTCAATTTATTGCTTACGATACTCCGATTTATGTACACTCATATGAGAAATAATAAGAAGCAGAAGTATATTTCACTTAAGTTCGTATAACGTGATACATACTTAAAACATGCCTAATACTTAAAAAAGAGGAACAAAAACTTAATATCATAGCAAAACAAGATATCTCGCATATCTATGCGATCAATTCTGAAGCTGATATTTATTATCAGAAAGTGTCTTTTAAATTGTTTTTCTATTTACGAACGAGTTGGCGTAGCAGAACGATTGTAGATCAATTAATAACGCGGAAAGCGCTACTGGAAAAATGATAGCTCTCATGACAGTGCAGCTGTCAATCGGCATTTCCGCTGCAACTTTTAAACTACACTTCAATAAACATTCCCGATAAAACTCGCCACCTAGAATGCAAGTTTCTGCCTGTTTTTGTCCGGAATCCCGTCTATATAACGTAATTACATATTAAATCCGATAAATTTACAAGATATGCAATCAATGCCAGCACCTCGTAATGGCTATAATTTATGTTTCTCTCAAAATATGTTGTTCGAAGCACACGTGATTTAATACATTCGTTATGAAACGGTGATACTTTTTGATAAGAGCGTAATTCTGATATCGCCAGTTAAAATACAAACAATTAGAGTAAGTCAGATTAAAGTTCGGCCATGTAACGTTCTCTGTCATTTTTGCCGCGAGAATCCTTGGGGACAGTGATTTCTTTCAAGAACGGTAGGCCGAACGAAATATCTTTGTAGCATTGAAAGTGGCACTATCGATTATCTCGGTCTATCGTAGGCGACGATAAAATAGACCGAGCAGCATTCAAGAAGGCGATAAACTTTATCATTTATCAAGGAAAACGAGCAGCTCTGCTGAGAACGTACAGTTATTTCACAGATTAAGATTGAAAACGAATTAAGAAATATCAGAGTCTATCATCGGTCTTGCCCTCGTAAATTAATCAAAATTTGCAAGCTCGTCACGATAATGAATCGAGCAAAAAGAAAAATATGTTGCATCGAATATAATTTTTGACGATGAACGAGTTAAGCTCGACATTACACGACACTTTCGCATGTAACGGCGATAATTTCTGTCCTTCGGATATTTCTATCGCACTCGTAAAGCGATATTTATGAATATTTATCACGGCGCACTAAACATGACGTCGTCAAATAGTACTAGATGCTTCTAGGACGTCGATAAAACGAGCACAAGACATATCGAGCACAATAAACTTTATTACATACAACGCGATAATACTATATAGTCAATGATGATAAATGTCTTTTCTTCTTAAATCAATGATCCGAGCCGAATTATTTATCCACAATTTGTTTTATCCGAAATTACGCGTTTTCGTCATGTATATTTTTAAAAATTCAAAATTTTAATACATAAACTTTTCGAAATTTTTGCAAATAGTCCATCTTTTAAACCACGAACTTCGTTTAAATTCCGTGAGATTTCGAATCAAAATCGTGAGATTTCCGCTCAAGGGAAGAAGGATGGATCAAAAACCAATAAATATACTGACAGAGACAAACTGTGAAAAGTAATGTTCTGAGAAACGTGATGGTAAACTCAAACAGGGGAATAGTTCCGTCGTTAATTCGGTAATACATCATACGGTCTGTCTGTGACAATAGTACATTGATAATCTCACTAACGTATATGAAAATCTGTATCAAAAGATCGTGGACACGTGCACGTACCTTATTGCAGCGAAGCCACAGGATAATGGAATTGGAATATCTGAGGGGTCCACCTAATCCGCAGCCACCGATGTTACATTGAGCTTTCAGAAGCTCAGAATGTGTTTTTCCATGTTGATGAAAAACTTCCAAAGACCTGTAAAATTTAAAAACTTTTTTATAATTTCGTAAAGAACAAATGTTAAATTTTTCATGTCCTATTGATATCTAATTATGATATGAAAACCAGTAAGAAAATAATATTAATGATTTATATTATTATTTAAACATATATATATTGTTGATTTATTAATTGTTAGAATATATTAATATATGTAATATTTGAATTAAGAAAATATATTTAATTGAGTGTATTTAGATGATTAACGGAAAAATTAGATTAAAAATAATTTGCTATCATTGGCGAATACAAAGATATAAATCTCATGAGAATTGTATGTGATAAGAGAATTTAGTAATGTTATTTATTGTTACATCAATAAATGTGTGTTTTATGGGTGCGACACATGTTCAGATTTAAGAGCGAGCCGACTCGGTCTCGTAAATTTATCGACCATAAAAATGCATGTCTATTTAGCTTTTAAACGTCCAGAATACTAAATTACTCAATTTAAGATTCGTGTCCGACATTACTTTCATCCACCATAGCAAGACACTTTGCAAAATCGGTGATTGTCTTGATGTTCTTCGGCCAAATATGCCTAAGTTCATCCGAGATCAAACTCCCAAAATTGTATATTGATCGAAAAATAGCGGAAATTCTACCATTTAAATATCACAAATTATCGCGGATCGCTGTGTGAAAAGGCAATCTGGATTATTAAAGACTCGTGCATCAAATAATCGAAATACCAGATAGTAGTGCTTTGCCTTAGTAATTAACAGTCAACATTGCGCCCGTGTTAATTACACGGTTTATCACGCGCTATAATATTGCGATTCTTATCTCAATGTTTAAAATATCCGGTATCAAAATGGCATAACATACACTGTCCAAGCAGATATAAGAGTCCATAAATATCACGCTCGATGCAAAATTAATGATGAAGTGTCATTATAATTTAAATCTCGATGATGCTGCATGATTGATTTGGGGCCGGTTGTTTTATCTCTTGGTAAGTCTACCCGACAAATAGCATATCTTCGTCTCTTTTTTGAGAACTTATCTGAAAAGAGATGAAAATATGCTACCTGTCAAGTAAACCTTACCAAGAAGTTGGAAACATCGGCTTTTAGACTTAAACATTTATCTGCGAAAAGGCTATAGTGTGACTGAATGAGAACGGAGCGACAGAGTATGACAAATTTCTGACAAGTGCGGTCACGTGTATAAATACATGTCGACACGCGCTGGTCGGTGATAGTAGAAACAAAAGTCTCTTTATAAGCCTGCGGCAAAAGCTATCTACAGAATTAACGAGCAGATTCCGACTACTCTGCGATCGACGATGAGGGTTGCCTAATTCCGTGACTGAGTCGTCGTCGTCGTCGTTGTCGTCATCATTACCGAGAAAACGGATCCCGGGAGAGGTCCAAAAGTTGACTTTAAACTCGGGCGAACTTATCGACGACGTCGGGTCTGAGCATCGCTTTCTATTTCCGTGACGCGGTCGTCAGCGTTCTAAGCAAGTCTAAAAGGGTGGGGAGGAGAGACAAAAAAAGAAGAAAAAGATGAAAATTAGACCGGCGGTACATCGCTCCGCGGAGGAAATGGCGCCGCGAAAGAGGTAAACGACCCGAATGTCTCTGGCAATCGGATAAAATTTATTGGCCTAGGTTAGGCTATAGACCCGAGATACCGTTTGACAAACACGAGAAAAGCTGTTTATAGAGAGATAATATATAGTGTGCATTTTTCATCGTAATAAATAATAAATATTTATATTCACCTATATATAAAAAATCACTGCTTTTCATTTTATAATATTGGAAACAATTGTGTTATCTTATTTCAATCTAGTTTCACTTATATATTTAATCGCAACGTATATGATTTTATTAAGAAACATCATTTTGGCTGGAGTAATAATTAATTTTATTTCAAGATTTATTTTTAAATTTTGAGTAAAAATTTTCGTTGAAGAATATTCAAGAATTACTCTCAATTTTCAGTGTAAGCTCCATTAATAAAAATATATATTTTCTTATGCAAAGGTGATAATTCTTCAATAAATATGCAGTTTTGTTAAGAAACTTCCGTGAAATACATAAACAGTTAAGAAACACATACGTATACAGTTAAGAAACTTTACAACTATATATATAAAGGGACGATACGCTGTTAAAAATCTTCTCGCAATTCCTTTCTGTAAGACAATTTAAACTTGCTCGGCAACTTTGCTAGTGACGTTCCACGGTTCGCATCTTAGACGCTCGACTTTAGTAGGCAGGTCTGCTGAAGAATTTCAAACTAACGCGAGTTAAAGCGACGCGTTAAGAAGACACGCGCGTGAATAGCGGCTGTCGTCTTCGTATCATATCGTCGATTTCTCTCGCGAAGCATTATGAAAATGCGAAGTGAACACACGACGCATTGTGTAAAGTTATGCAAGCACAATGTGGCACTTCGTGGTACGTTTCTTATAAGTCGACAGGCGAAATCCGATCGTTCGCGAGAATCTGCCATCGATGAGAAAACGGAGAAGGGAATCAAATTTTTTTCAAATATTTAGAATATACAAGATGTCCCAGAACTGGCGGAAAAGTTTTTAATGGCAGATTTCTGATAACATTCGGAGACGATTTTTCCTCAGCGAAAATGTCGAGACACCAATAATTTTCAAATTATAAGCAGTTGAAAATAAAGGCTTTTTTGAAAATTAAACCTCGTGGAAATAAAATATTAATAGAACTACATTCTTCAGTTAATTTTACAGTTTGCTTTAATAGAATTTTAATATAAGACTTAGTTATAAAAATACATAACAAAAATTGAAAACATGCTAAAAATGATGGCTTCCCTCAACATTTTCATTAAAAAAAAATTGTCTCCAAATGATACCAGGAATCTGCCATTAAAAACTTTTCCGCCAGTTCTAGGACACTATAATACTGATAAAGTTCTCTCTCTCTCTCAGAATATTTCTCACTCGGAGAAGAAAAAGAATGTCACTTTTAAATCGATTTAGTGGTCTTTATTTATCTTTTCGTTATTTATAAATTTTTAAATGATACGCACATACACATGTGTATAATGAAATGCGTTTGGCAGATGTGCGAATCCGGAGCGTGTGTGCTAATCTTGTTCTCGGAATTTACAGAATGACTGGGCCCTAAACATCCGGCATGGTATTCTGACGATAATTAATCCGTAGCTTTCATCAAGCAATCACGATTAATGGGTCAGAGCCCACCCACTCACTTATCAGTACGGGCCAATGTCACGTCTGATGGCTTGTAAAGTAACAGTCGTCAGTAACTGCTCGTTTGAATAAGTCGTGCAATTTTCTTGTCATCAACAATCGACATTACAATATGAAACAACAACAATCTTTCGTATTATCAAAGATTAATGAATCGTAAATATTTTCTTACATGTACCGGTTATTCGCAACATTAACGGAGTAGTGATTTGGAACACTCCTTCATTACATAATGAAATGATATGTTCATTAACGAAATCACGCAATATATAATAATAATTTAATGTAATATATAATATTATGTAATATATGTAGAATTATTGTAATATTAAATAATTGACATTTAAAGAGACAGATTATATTCAATAAATCCTTTTTAGGTCATACGAAAATGACTTTAATTATAAATAGCACAATATTAATTATTTAAATATTCTACATTTTAAAATATGCTTTCAATTAAGGTGTCTAAAATATTTCCGAGAAAGCATTATTAAATAGAAATTCCTATTAAAAGTCAAGTTTTAAAATTAATAATTAAAGAATATATTAAAGAGCTAATTACTGAGAAGAAATAATAAATTTCGTTAATAAATTCGCTGTTTTATAAGTAATTATAATTATTATATAGAATATCAGCTCTTCAATATCAATCTATACATTGAATCCTTCGTGACTATGATGCTGCATTGTTCGATTTAATTGTTTGTCACAACTATTCTCTCTCTCTCTCTCTCTCTCTAAAAGTCGCTGAAGCGAAAAGATGGAACGAATCGTCTGGGAATCGTCTTGTCAATCGTGCGGAACACCTCGATGTTTCTCAAAGATATCTTTGCGAAATACGAAATTTCGTATGCAGATGTTAAGAAGAAACGCGAGAAACGCGTTTCAGTGGTTCATCGGCCGAATTATCGAGGTGTAGTTAGGCCTAATCTCGGACAAGAAGATCAACGGAGAGCTCGGATAGATAAATATTTGATGAGGTTCTCATTAAATGATCTTTGCTTTAATTAAGGCGGTTCATTACGAAACATAAGATACTGATATCGCGACACGTCCGTGACTTTATTGTCAAGATTCGCCTCGTATCGCGTTCTGGTCCAGATTTCTCGAAAAATTGTACACAAAAATATTTAACACAGAATACGCTATTGCGTTAAATTTAAAACATGCATGATAGTTTTAGGATAAATTTGCATATATATTTCATATGCTGAGATCATTTTGACAATAAGATACAACGACGATTGTTCGGTTAAGACGTCGCAGTAAAAAAATTTAATCGAGTATTTATAAGATACGATTCCGATTCGCATCATGACTTCGATTCGCTATTTTTTTATAAATCTCCCGCTTTTCTCCGCAGGGCCGCAAATCCGGTCGATTGTGTAATTTTTAGCGGCGTGTAATCGACGGGAATTGGAAAACAAGATGGATGGGGAATGGAAAAGGCGACTTTCTCCCAGAAATTAATCTTAAGATACCTCTCGCGTGTTACTCCTACGCATGTTACTCTACACTTTGAGAATTACTTTGTATTTTATAAATAAATTTGAATTGTTATACGAATTAGTAAAATTAACTTTCGTATCGATACATTTCTCTACGGTATGTTTAAACTAAAATATTTTTTTTAATAAATTATAATAAAAAAGAGACATATACTTTCCTCTCAAACAAATATAATTTGATATAAGAAAGAGAACTCGTTATTCAAATTATATTTAGATTCTTTCACTGTATAATATACCTTTCACTCAATTATAATAAAGAA